AGCAGGCATCCCAACAAGAAGAGGGATCTGATGGGCTATGGACACTAGGAGAGCCAGGAAGGCTTCCTGAGAGAAGTGGTCATGAGACTGGAGGAGGTAAAACAGCGGTAATGGCTCAGGCAGAGGAAACAGCAGGATCCTGACGCAGAACGGGCGCTGTGCTGGTGGAGAGCCAGGGCACGGGGCACAGCTGGAGCCTCACAAGCCCCGTCACACCGACAGACGTCTGACCCCGTGCCAGGATCTGCTGGGATCTGGAGCCTGCCCGGCCCAGCTAGCCTACCATGAGGCCTGTCGATCTGCCCTGGAAAGTGGCCCTGCCCGGGAGACCGGTGGCCAAGTGCTCAGATGGGCAGGGTGACACACCTGTACCTGGGTCCCGCTCGCAGCCTGGGCACAGGCTGGGACAGCCACCTCCTACAGGGCCAGCATGAGGCAGCCATGGGGCAGGGAACCCGCTGTCTCCTGGGGACACCTCCCTCTGCCCGCCTCCGGCCTGCCCAGATTTGCCTTTCTCAGCCGCCCCTCCCCTTAAGACTCCCTGCAGCCAGGCAGGTGGGCGAGACGGGGCGGCACAGGGCGAGTCGCGGCTGTTCACACTACCTCTGCCATGTGCATGGTGCCCACACAGGCCTCGGGCGCCTCCTCCCCTCCTGCTCCCGCAGCCCAGCAGCGCACTGGGACACTTCCCTTGTGCCATTTTGCAGAGTGGTGCCCAAGAGAGTGGATGGCACAGCAGAAAAGCAGGTCCCCGAAGCCACTCTCCACTCCTACAGCCCACGCCCCAACCCCAGCGAAGGCTCCACACACTCCGGACCCCGTCAGGGCTGAGACACGTGTGCACCGCGTCCTTCGCTGCGACACCCTGCAGGCAGCCGGCGGGCAGACCACGGCTCCTCCCCTCCTCTGTCGGACACCCGTGAACAAGCCTTTCTGGGGGCCCTGACCACCCCGCCCTCCAGCTAACAGTGTCGCAGGCAGGATGAGGACAGTGGGGAGCCTCAGGCACCAGCCCTCCGTGCCCAGCTGCAATGGCCGGTACCCCCCTCAGGCTCTGCAGACCCGCCTGCCGTGCTCTCTGGGCCCAGGGTGTGGGGCTCCCGCTGCCCGGCGCGAGGCATCTCGGTTCTGCCTGCCTTCTCTGCTTCCCTCGGCGCTGAGGGCCTTGCATTGACTGCTTCTTCAGGTGGGGGCCCAGACAGGCCCACGCTGGGCCCTGCTCTTGAGGGTGGGCCCTGCATCCTGGGACTGGCTGGGGAAGGGGGCCCCCGCCACATGGCAAGACTCAAGGACAGGAGCTGTCCGCCACGCCCTCAGTGCCCGGGCCAGCATTTCTGCGAGCCTGGAGCTCCTGGGAAATCTGACACAGGTGTCGGGGGCCGGGCGGGAGCCCAGCACTGGCGGACAGATGGCAAGGCACCCCAGGCTGCAAGAGGCTGCCCGGTCCCCTTCTCCTCCGGCGGATACTCATCCATTCAGGGCAGGGCTACTCCGCTGCCACCCTCCCTGACACGGACGACATGGCCTTGGGGCCCTGAGAGCCCCCCCCAGGGACACCAAGCAGCCACTCCGGGCAGAAGGCGTTGCACAGGATGACCCAGCCAGTGTGACTCCGAACTCACGCTCCTGAGCCCTGAAAGCTGCGGGCTCTGGAGTCAGACTGCCAGGGCCCAGGCCGCCTCGCTTCCCGCAGACATCGCGGCCCTCCAGGCCTCTGTGCCTTGCCCTCGTCTGTCCCATAGGCAGTGCCTGCTCCAGGAGGGCCCCATAAGGCAATCCCTGCTCACGGGAGGCCTCCAGGTGCTCAGAGCTTCGTCTTCAGGAGCCTCCTGCGCCCCCCCCACCCCCGTTCCCGACCACCTGGTCCAGTTCTGGGACTTCTTCCTGCTCAGTGGACCCAGGCACAGGGAGCCCAGGGAGGGCGGCCCCACACATGGGCTACCCTGGTCCCAGGAGCCGGTGTCAGGGGACTCCTCAGCAACTGCCTCCTCTGCAGGGTGGCCGGGAATTAATTAGCGAGCGTTTTGTGAAGCACTCTGCGCCGTGCAGGGCCCCAGTGCCCTGAGCGGCATCATTATAACACGACCGTGTTATTTACAGAGCTGGGGGGCAGGGGTGGGCGGGCAGGATGCTGTCAGTTCCATCACCTCCGATGTAGCCCGCTGGCTTGTTCCACCGGCGCCGGGAGCCTGGGGCGGGAGTGTCTGCAGACACCGGCCTCATTACTCTCCTCCAGCCCTCCAGGTCGCGCCTGCAGGCTGGCGGGGGCGACAGGGGCGTCCAGCAAAACCCGCAGACTAAGCTCGGCCTTGACTCTCACTCTGGCCCGGCCCCCAACTTTAGAAGTCCCGCTGGCATGGGACTGGGGACCGTTTCCGGGGGGAGGGTGTCTAGAGCCCGAGGGCACCCAAGCCCTGAGGTAGCCTCCACTGCCCTCCCTGGGCCCTTCCCGGTCAGCCTCTGAGACAGGCAGGACTGAGTTCTCCAGGACACACTACCTCACGGCTTCTTCTCAGGGCTGGGGTGACAGAGACCTGGGGGCGGTCCTGCCAGGGCCATGCAGCTCAAAGGCCATGGCCCTTCTGCCCTCAAGGGGGTAAAGTCTGGACAAGGCGCCCGACCCGAGGACGGCGCAGGCCTGCCCCTGCCAGTGGCTGGCCCCGCACAGCGCACCCTA